AAGTGTTTTTTTGAGGATTGAGTAAGTTAATGTATGGAGGTGAAACCAAGAGCTGAAGATGATTGGTTGATTTCGGATATTAGAGGATCTCTCTGTTGATGTCCAGATAAGGTTGTTGAGGTCTTGTAATGCGCCACGTGGCAGATACGTTTTTCTTCTGTTTCCACGTCAGATTCATTAAACAGTAGGTCCAATACAGTTCTTGATTATCCGATTTTGCTTCTTTCAATTACATTTATTATGCTTATATCATTATTAAGGAACAAGAGAACTAAGTTTAAGATTGGCTCAGAAGCAGAAGCTACAAATATCTGATAAACAAGTAATTGTGAATAACAATAACCTAACAAAATTGTTGAGATTTCAAAATTTGGTAAACAAGTGTAGATAAAATATTGGGCGTGAAAACACCAAAGTCCAAAGTGAAATGGGAGTCTCAAAGGTGCTTTGTCCTTGCGAGTCACCTTTCTTGGCTTTCACTTATAGCTTTGCTTCTTAATTATTCTCCACTGATGCAGCTTCAGTTGAAGTTGAGTTTGGGAAAGGGTTCTCATTGCTCTTGACATCAATCAAATCCGACTTGTTCACTGACATTGGCTCTGCTTGAACCTCATTGTTAGCCATTGATGCAGCTTGGGTAAGATCAGTGTTTATAGGTTGCTCATTCTCATTAGTGGAAGGCATTTTCTCTTCTTCCATGTTGTCATCCGAATTCAAGTTGTTATCTAGTTTGCGCCTTTTGGATCTTGATTTCTTCTTTTTTGGTTGCTTAGCCGCTGAAGCAGCTTCCGTCAAAGCAGTGTTTGGGTCAGGTTGCTCATTCCCACTCGCAGGATTGGAGGGCAAGCACTCTTCCATGTTATCCAAATCCGATTTGTCAGCTGGCTTAAGCTCTGTTCGATCATTCCTGTCAGCCAGATCAGAAGGCTTGTTCTCTTCCGTGTTCCCCAAATCCAAGTTGTTGGCTGCTTTTCGCTTTTTGGACCTTGAACGCTTTTTCTCTGGTTCCTCAACTGCTGAAGCAGCTTCCGTTGAAGCAGTTTTTGGGTCAGGTTGCTCATTCCCATTGGCAGGATTTGAGGACAAGCACTCTTCCATGTTATCCAAATCCGATTTGTCGGCTGGCTTAAGCTCTGTTCGCTCATTCCCATCAGCTGGATCAGAAGGCTTGTTCTCTTCTGTGTTCCCCAAATCCAAGTTGTTGGCTGTTTTTCGCTTTTTGGACCTTGAACGCTTTTTCTCTGGTTCCTCAACTACTGAAGCAGCTTCCGTCGAAGCAGTTTTTGGGTCAGGTTGCTCATTCCCATTGGCAGGATCTGAGGGCAAGCACTCTTCCATGTTATCCAAATCCGATTTGTCGGCTGGCTTAAGCTCTGTTCGCTCATTCCCATCAGCCAGATCAGAAGGCTTGTCCTCTTCCGTGTTCCCCAAATCCAAGTTGTTGGCTGCTTTTCGCTTTTTGGACCTTGAACGTTTTTTCTCTGGTTCCTCAACTGCTGAAGCAGCTTCCGTTGAAGCAGTTTTTGGGTAAGGTTGCTCATTCCCATTGGCAGGATTTGAGGGCAAGCACTCTTCCATGTTATCTAAATCCGTCGGATCAGTGTTTGGAGCAGTGTCGGCTGGCTTAAGCTCTGTTTGCTCAGTCCCATAAGTCAGATCAGAAGGCTTGTTCTCTTTGACCTTTTTGGACCTTGAACGCTTCTTCTTCTTTGGTTCCTTAACTGCTGAAGCATCTTTCGTCAGAGCAGTGTTTGGGTCAGGTTGCTCATTCCCATTAGCGAGATTGGAAGACAAGCTCTCTTCCATGTTACCCAAACCTGACATGTTGGCTGACTCGAGCTTTGACCCCGTTGGAGTAGTGTTCGGGTCATTCCCCTGACTCTCATTGTGGTCAGCGGAAGGTATGTCTTCTCTGAGACCCGTTGTATCTACCACTGAAGCACTAGGTTCCACAGCAACTGTTTGAAATGAAGGTTTTAAGAGCCCATCATATGAGAGAATACAAGCTATTGCATACATAGAAGCTCCCAGATGAGGCGGCAAATTTTCTTGTGGATGTTTTACCTACACAATGACAACGAAAGGTTTAAAAGGATGTACCAATACATGAATAAAATGTTGAATATCCTCAATCGTACTGATTATAACTAATGTACCTTGAACAAAATGGATGCCATTAGTCGCTCTCTCAAGATGTACATTTGAGCAATTTCAATAGCTGTAATCTTGAAAGGCAGCCACCGATCAACCACCACCTTGACTGAATTTTCTGGTGCAAGCATTATTTTCTCTCCAGGCCTACCAGCTGCCTTATCTATGTCCATCACATCTCCTTCATTTTCTATTTCGTGATCTTCCTCGTCATTACAGCTCTCAGTAGGAGCCACAGCTATCTCTCCTGAAAACAGTAACAACGGTACAGTGGGAAGAGCAGTGTAACTTCTTATGTGCACGCCCCAATCTCCTTGAGTGATCTCATCAAAAACAATTAAAGGTTCATCATCCTTGCTAGAGGACTTGTTTGAATTCCAGGGCACGCGAACTTTGGCTCCAGTGATAGTCTCTACTAGAGACCTTTTGTTATTCTTGGAAGGTGGGCACATTCTTCCTACCATAGGGTACAATCCTATTGCTACAACAGCACGAAGAATCCCCGGATCGTGAGCATTCAGACTACAGTTTGAGTCATTGCTAGGGATGAGCCCATGTCTTTTAAGTTCTCCATGAAGCTTGTCACGCAAATTATCCAGCGTATTCATGGCATTTGAGGAGACAAAGTACTTAGAACAGAACTTCACAGATTGACCTCTTCCTTTTGCCTCTTTCCAGCAGTGAAAAGCCGCAACAGTCGCAAGGTGATCACTCTGGTCCCCATAAAGTGATGCAAGTTCAAGTTTTGCGGCAGCAGCTTTTTTTCTTTCACCTGGCACCAAGGGCATAATAAATGGATCCTTGGTCTCGGCTGCACATGCCAGAATAAGTGCTGAATCCAGACAATTCACTAATATGGCGAAATAAAGCATCTTGCTAATCCGAGGATGAACTGGAAGCTGACCAAATTTCTGTCCAAGTTCTGTTAGCTCTTCTTGAGGTGTCAAAGCTCCAATTTCTTTAAGGATGGTTAAGGCATTTGCAACGCTTTGATCCACAGGCGGGTCCATCAATTTCTGGAGGAAATCATGTACATTGCAACTCGGATCCAGCATCTTAACCTGAACATGTTATTTATGGACGTCACTCATCAGTAAGAAATCAAGTACGAATACGAAATCAAGTACGAAAGAAGTATCAAACAGGATGCTACCATGCACAAATGACATTAGACATCATAGACAAAATCTATGTTAGAAAGAACAGCACCTGTAAGCATAGTTCATCTACTGGCATCCTCCTAACTTCAGGAACCCTGAATTCAGGCAAAGAGGCTGCACGGAGTTTAGAATAGAGATGATAACAAATGCCAGGTTGGCAACGGCCTGCTCGACCCTCCCGCTGTTTTGCATTTGCTTTTGAAACCCAAGAAGATTGGAGGGTTGACACATTATTATAAGGATCATAACTCTTTTCCTTCATCCGGCCACTATCTATCACATAAACCACATCATCAATAGTAACTGCTGATTCAGCAATATTTGTCGCAAGCACAATTTTGCGACAACCTTTAGGGGGTCGTTGAAAAACTTTCTTCTGTTCATTTGCTGGAATCCTTGAGTGAAGACATAAAATTTTGAATTTAGCACTATCTGCAAAATAGGGATTAACAAGCAATCTTTCTTTTGTTTTACTTATTTCCTCCCACCCAGGTAGAAAAACAAGAATGGCACCAACTTTTGAATTGCCGCATATTTTCCACATTAAACGGGCTATAAGATCCACATCTACTTCTTCTGCATTGATTGTCGTCATATACTTGTCAAGTAAGTCTTGTGCTAGCTGAGAATTCGCCTGGAAGTTATCCATATGTTCCCTGATTATTTGAGCAGCTTCAGATTGATTCTCTTTTTCAGCCAATTCTAATGCTGTTATACCTTCTTTGGACTTTAGTTTACAGTCAGCACCAAGTAAGAGGAGCTTACAGACATCGCTAGTCCTGCCCTTTCCAGCAAAGACCATAAGTGGTGTTAGCCAGGTCGATGATTGCCGGTAATTATAAACATCATGATTTACTTCAGAAGAAACTAGAGCTAAGAGAGCATCAAAGTCATCATTTTTCCATGCCAAGTCGATTGCTTCATCTAAAGCAACTTTATCTCCATCTTCAATATCAAGTTTGCCATCTGGATTGTTCGAATCAGCAGAAATTAGATGATTATTCTTGTCTGATTTCAGGACAGAGAGTGCATCTTCCAGATAATAGGTTCTCACCTGCAGGACAGGCGCAAGGATATTATTTAGCAATACAATGAGACTAAAGAGAATTCT